ATTGAAAAAATTGTTAATATACTTATAATGTTTATAGGTCTTTCACCACATACAAAAAAATACTTACACAAACATAATAATGAGAAACTATATCTAAAATTTAAAATTTAAGCACAAAGTATTATCTTTAAGTACAAAAATAGATATTATATTGGTTGGGCTAGTTGTTCAAAACTAAAAATTTATATTTAAACATATTGAACTATAAATATATATAAAGAAAAATTAGTAAATATAATATATATGTTGTAATAAATAAATAAATAAATTAGTGTATATATATATATATATATATATATATATATTTAGAGGAATGTTCAGGTCCGAACGTTCCCCGTCCAAACAACGACGTTCGGGGCGGTTCCCGGTGGAATTTTTTGATGAAATTTTTATGGTATGTTCTTCATCAAGTCTAGTTTATCCACAAAAATTTCAGCTCAAAATTCGACCGTGAAGGCCTTCAAATGATTTTTTGAAGTTCACTGCGTTTTCCCGATCGAATTTTGAGCTGAAATTCTGTATGGAGAAACTAGAATTGATGAAGAACATACCATAAAAAATTCATCAAAAAATTCCACCGAGAACCGCCCTGAACGGCGTTGTTCGGACGGGGAATGTTCGGACCTGAACATTCCTCTATATATTTATATATACTAAATGTAGCGGGTCGGGCTTATTGGCCCGAACAGGCCTACACCACAACCCAAGCCCGCTCATATCTTATTGTGAGCCAGGCCTGGTCTGGTGGGTAAATATATATGCCCAAGCCCGACAATTTGTGCGGGCGGGCCGGGCGTGCCAGACCGGTTTTGTACAGGTCTACCTGCTAGGTATGAGTGACTGTTGGGGGTCAACTCACAGGGGGCCAATTTCACAAACCTTAAATACTCCAACACGAAAGGATGGAGAGCGAACCGAATGCTCAACTGCCCAAAGCCACCGAGAGGATGTGCACCAAGAAGCAGCCTTCGGGGGGCGAGACAATACGTCATTAGGCCTCGGTTCTACTACGGTTGCCAGGGGCCCGATATAGAAACAAGTATGAATGGCCCTCGGGAATTCCTACGGGCTGGTCGGCACCAGCAGCGGCTTGCTTCTTCTTCGGAGGTGCCTTCACCTTCTTCTTTTTCTTCAGCGGCGCAGCCCGAAGGGGATCCGGGCTGAGGGGTTGCGAGGTCCATGTTCTGCCTGCATTCACCGGAAGGATAGCTACAGTTACCTGTTGTCGCTCCTTCTCCTCCTCCTCTTCAGTGCTTTGAACGGCGAGTGCCATCTCCTCATCCTCAGCCACCTGCTCGAATTCCTCGGCTTCGACCTCGGTTCTGAGGTTGCTCTGAACCTCCTTTGAAATTTCTAAATCATCGTTAGAAGAGGCATCACTAGTGGAAAAATGTTATTCAGAGGCGCTTCATTTGAGGCGCTTTAAACAGAAAGCGCCTTGGTTATTCTAAAAAAACGAATTTTAGACACGTGCGGCGCTTCTTGACATATAAGCGCCTCTAATTTATAAATTATTTAATTTTTTTACTTTCGTCCCATGTGCGGCGCTTCTGTCAAAAGAAGTGCCTCGAATCAAAACAAAATTAAAAATTACGGAAAGCGTGCGGCGCTTCTCGTAAAAAAGCGCCTCAAACCATTTAAAAAAAATTAACCGATACGTGCGGCGCTTTTATACTCTGAAGTGCCTCTAATAGGTTTTAAATTTTTTAACCTATCCACTCGACCGCCTTCCCCGTTCGTAGCCCTTACGTTCGTAGCGCCTCCCTCTTAACTTCGACAAAGACGACCAACGGCCTGCGCAGCTTCGATTATCTTCGACAAAGACGACCAACGGCCGACAACGACCACCACGCACGACCTTACACCGCCGCTCTGGAGCTGTGCTGAGACGACCGACCTGCGGCGAAGAGGGACCTCGAGCGACTGACCTGCGGCGAAGAATCTGCGACGAGCGGTTGCGACGGTGAGTTCCGACGACTAGCAGCCTCGTTGTGACGACTACTACAATCTGCGACGGCGAGTTCAGACATCGTCCAGCAGCCTCGTCACCTCCTAGCCGCTGCTCTGCCATCATTGGGGACTTCGACTACGTGCCGGCCAACTCTTAAACTAGGTCAGCAACATAATCTTTAATCCTCTACTGTTAATAAACTAATTTATTTTTATTTTATGGTTAAATATTCTGATTAATATTCTGTTGTTAATAAATTCAATTTACTTTTGTTTTATGGTTAAATAATCTGATTAATATTATGTTGTTAATAAATATTCTGCTGCTAATAAATTCAATTTATTTTTGTTCAATTTATCTTTAATATTCTGATTTTTCAGTTTATTTGGTAATTTAAAAGATTTTGTTTGGCTTAGGAGCGTAAAATAAGCACTTGACTGACTACCCGATTTTTTTATCATTGATAATAATCTATTTTCTTGTATTTTGTATCATGTCAAATTCTACCTATTTTATCATCTATAATTACTTTAAACTTTTACCTTACTGGAATTTGTGGACATATTAAGCCGGATTCACATGAAAACTGAATGTGAATGAATGGTGGATGAGAATAACATTTTCTTAATTAGGTATAGTTTTTCCCACTCGGTCGTATTAATTTTGCTCTACGCGTGAGAATAGACTTTTTTTCACTATGTCTACATTATGTTCTCAGATGGATCGTAGTTGGATGTATGGTCTTCGGAACACCTCTGAATTTTTCACGGGTGTTAATGGGTTTATAAAACATGCTCTTGCACACCAAAACAACAAGGCCATATAGGGATTTTATGTCCTTGTTCGAGGTGTCGTAATTTAAAAAAAGAAAATGATGCCAATGTTGTTCTTCAACACTTTCTTCAGAGAGGCTTTAGAGAAAATTATAGAATATGGTCGTTGCATGGTGAAACTTGTGTAGATGATGAAGTTGTTGCACGACCTACATCTAGTAATTTAAAGCGCAAAGTGTTCGACATTGCCAACGCCTCAAATGATCAAAATGACACTACTAATGATGGCAATGAATACAATGTTGATCTAATTGATGATCTTTTAAAAGATGTGCATGAAAGTTTTGAGCATCAACCAAATTCATACGAAAGTATGGTTGATGACGCCAGAACACCTTTGTATTCTACTTCAAGCTTCACCAAGTTGTCCGCGGTGTTGAAGTTGTTCCATTTGAAATCTAAATATGGATGGAGTAATGTGAGTTTCACAGAGTTGTTGACATTACTTCAAGAGATGTTGCCTGAGGGGAACACACTTCCCGATACAACATATAAGGCTAGAAGGATATTCTGTCCTATGGGAACCGAGTGGAAGAAAATTCATGCATGTCCCAATGATTGTGTTCTCTACCGAAATGAGCATGAAAACCTTGATGAATGTCCAACGTGTCACCTTTCACGTTATAAAAGGAAAAGGAGTACAAATGCTGCTCATGAAGAAGCTGATTCCAAAATTCCTTCCAAAGTTCTGTGGTATCTTCCGATTATTCCTAGATTCAAAAGGTTATTCATGAATGAAAAGGATTCCAAACATCTAATTTGGCATGCTCAGGGTAGGAAGAAGGATGAGTACTTGCGTCATGTATCTGATTCACCGCAATGGAGACAAATTGACCTTAAATATCCGGAATTTGGTAGAGAGGACAGAAATTTGAGACTTGGTCTGTGCACAGATGGTATGAACCCATATGGTACGCTTAGCAGTCAGCATAGCACCTGGCCAGTTTTATTGGTTAGCTATAATTTGCCGTCGTGGTTGTGCATGAAACGCAAGTACATCATGTTGTCTCTGCTTATCTCGGGACCTCAACAACCGGGTAATGACATTGATGTGTACCTTGCACCGCTTATTGATGATTTGAAAGTTTTGTGGGCTGAAGGTGTTAAAACATATGACAAGCACACAAGATCTTATTTCCAAATGCATGCTATGTTGTATTGCACCATCAATGACTTTCCAGCGTACGGTAATCTTTCAGGTTACACGATTAAAGGTGCAAAAGCATGTCCGATATGTGAAGATAACACTTGTGATTTGCGCTTACCTCATTGCAAGAAGAATGTTTATATGAGTCACCGTAGGTTTCTTCCATGCACTCATCGTTATCGTGCATTGAAGAAGGCATTTAATGGAAAAACTGAACATGAAGTGCCCCGTCCACCATTAAGTGGTCATGATGTGTATGATAGGGTGAAAGATTTAGACACGGTCTTTGGAAAGCCTTATAAGCGTAACAAACAGAGCCTTTGGAAGAAGAAATCCATCTTCTGGGAGCTTCCTTATTGGAAAGACTTATCTGTAAGGCATTGTCTTGATCTCATGCACATTGAAAAAACGTGTGTGATAGCATTATCTCGACTATTTTGAACATTCCTGGTAAGTCAAAGGACAACATAAATATCCGAAAAGACATGGTTGAACATCTCAACATTAGAAAAGAGTTGGGACCACAACCACGACTTAATGGTTTCTATCTTCCACCAGGCAGCTACACATTATCAAAAGTTGAGAAAAGAAGATTCTGTGAGAGTTTACATGGTATGAAGGTGCCATCAGGGTATTCATCGAATATTAGAAATCTTGTATCCTTGCAAGATATGAAGTTAGTTGGATTGAAATCTCATGATTACCATGTTCTCATGCAACATTTGTTGCCTGTGGCTCTACGTGGTCTTCTACCTGATCATGTTCGACATGCCATAATGAGATTAAGCTTCTTTTTCAATGACATTTGTCAGAAAGTCATTCATCCAGAGAAACTTGATCTTTTGTAATCAGAAGTTGTTGTTACATTATGTCAGCTGGAAATGTATCCCCCCCCGTCACTGTTTGACATCATGGTGCATCTTGTTGTGCACTTAGTTAGAGAAGTGAACATGTGTGGTCCGGTGTTTTTGAGGTACATGTACGGAATGGAGAGGCACATGGGCTATTTGAATTCAAAAGTGAAAAATCGTTGTCACCCAGAAGGTAACATCATTAGAGGTGTAATTGATGAAGAAGTCATTGAGTTTTGTACTCCTTATTTGTCACACAGAACATTTTTCCTCATCATATGGGTCGTTCACGATATGTGCTTTCCATGGCGAAATGGAAAGAGCAAGGCTTATTAGACCGGTTTCTTCCGACATCGGAGGTAGATTCAACGAAGTCTAGCACAACCACAACTGAAGAAATTCCAAGACATGTAAGCTGGTTTTGTGCTAGGTCGGGATTGACATCTGATGGACATTTAGCTTTTCCCGGTAATACTGATGGCATGAAAGAGAAAAAAAAAACAAATTGGTAAGTTAAACGTTTCTTATATCTTTTATAAATTCACTTAAATTAAAGCTAATGCACTTTAAATAAACTATATAATAGGACAAAATTCAAGATGACATAGCTGCAGGGACATGGAAGCCAATTGGACGACATGATATTTTGACTGAGGTTGTAGGGAAACCTGACTATCCTGGCCGTGCACGTGGCATTGGTGGTGGTGTGGGTTATACTCGAGTGTTTGCAGCAGAGCGTAGAGGTGGACGGCGTGATAAAGTGGGTAATTTGAGTGAGGCTGGTTTGAAAAAGTTGAAAGATATGCATCACTACTTTGTTCATAGAGGTGAACAACCTACCATGAGATCAACGCAAGCTTCTGAGTCAGGCCAAGTTGATACAATGAACTCCACATCTGATATTCCACATAAATCTTTCATTGTGAGTAAGAATAAAATAAATTTACTATGTGAATGAGAAATTAATTTTGGGACGGAGGGAGTATATGTTATTAAGTCTTTTATGCAATGTAAATCTTTAATTGCATGTGGAAATTCATGCAGGATGGTGCAAATTGTAGGCTGGTTGTTGAGTCACAAACTGTTAATGATGATATGAGCTTGGATTATGTGGCCGTAGCTGTAGCTTACAACACACCAGTTGGTGCTTTGATTCATAATGTATCGATGTCTGATAAAACAATTAAAGTGAACATATCAATGCCATGTCCAGGTTGTGATCAGTGTCCCTTGTTGTTTCCAAATGAATCGGCTGATATGTATGTTATAGCGGATGCTGTGGGTTCCTTTGTTCAGTGGCCAGCTCGGTTGGTGATTTTTGAGGGGGAGGTAGCTAAATAGTAGTAACCTTATACTATCTTATTAAGTGTAATTTATGTATATATTTATATATGTGTATCGTGTTTGTTGTTGAATTTTTTTAGGAACCACAATTTCAACACAAAAAAAAAGAGATGAAGAAGAAGCAAACCCCATTTGTTGAGAGAGATCCTCCAAAAGTAACGGTTGCACCTTCTATATGCCCGTTAGTCAGTGAGAGCATACTTGATACTCTTACAGATGATGTTTTGGAGTTGCACGAGGCATTGCAGTGGTTTGAACTTGAAAATTGTAAGTTCTCTGTCCATCTTTCTACATATGTGTTCTGTTTTCAGGAAGATCGTCCGTTTAGGGCTACAATTGATCGTGATGAGTTGTCTCGGTTTCTTGAGGGGGACTCACTTGAGATTTGTATCATTCAGACTTTCTTGCTGTAAGTATTTGATGGATTGTGTACCCGGGGGGTAGCTTATCCGAGAGGTTATTACGGGGAATAACTAGAGAGAAGTCAGAGCAAGCAAGTATAGAGAGAGAAAGTATATTAGAAAGTATTCAGCGTGTTATGACTTGTGACTTGGTTACAAATGGGGAAATGGGGTGCTATTTATAGTAGCAATAAATGCCGGACAGGGACACGTGTCAGGCGTCCATTGGCCGAGAGGTCACCTCAACAGGTTGGCGCTGGCAAACGCATGTGGCCGCATTTAATGCGGCTGTTGGATGGGACGTTGCACAGGGTACGGTGATTCATACGCATGTGGAGCGGATATTATGTCGGAAAAGGTGCCCTCGCCTGTAGGTGATTAGCCGAGGGCTCTGAGTGCCGGGGACCCCCTTAGTGCCGAGGGCTCTAGGTGCCGAGGGCTACTGATTTTGGCCCTCCTGTGAGAGTTAGAGCCTTCGGCCAGGGGGCAGAAGGCACCCCTGGTGCGCATTGTGGGCTGCTTGGTACCCTGGGCGCTGTGATTTGGGCCTGTTGTGTTTTCTGGGCCTGTTGGGCCTTCATTTGAGTAGTAGGAGTCTGTGGGCCGGGGGTTCCCGGGCCATATACTCCATCAGTATTCAATATACATTACTTTTAAATTAAGTAAATGTTTTTAGGTGCTCGAAGTGTGATAGTATTTATGTATGTGCAGTTGTTTACAAGAAAAGCTAGTTGAGCTTGGCCATGACGACATTGGCTTTTTGTGCCCTCACATGTGCTCTTCTGAACATTATAAATTGGACAAAAAGGGCACAATGACTTACTTGAAACTTGCTTTGATAAAGTCCTTTGAAAAGTCATTCATTTTCCTTCCATACCATGAAGGGTAAAACATATACAATATATTTCCATTGAAATAATTCTTGTGATACGTTATTTATTTATTGTGTTATTTTATACAATATAGGTATCATTGGATTCTGCTTGTCATTTGCCCTATGATCGATAAGGGATATATTTTTGATTTCATTTCGAGTTCTAGCATTAGTATTCAAAGAGACTTGACAACGTTAGTATTATATATTTGTTTGAATAAACTTAATTTATATATTAATATGTTTTAATATTAGTATATATGAAAACATAATGTTTGTTTGAATTTGTAGAATGTACAGGGTTGCATCTGCACAAAAAGGTAGCGGTAAGCCAATTAAATGGAATAGTGTGAAGGTATGTTACATCCTTTCTATCCTACAATTAATCTTAGGAAAGTAATCTTGAAATGGAATTTTGATTAATTATACGTGTGATGTGAACTATACAGGTTGCACAACAAACCGGAAGTACTGAATGTGGATATTATGTCATGAGATTCATGTGGGAAATAATATCATACTCTGAAAATCATGATATTGGAACGGTATGAATAAATTGTGAGTTTGCAAAGTTATTTATTATATATATATATATATATATATATTGTATTGTAATTAAAGTGAAATATATTTGTGATCATTTCAATACATTTCAGGTATGGCGTTCAAGAAGTGAACCATACACATTAGCAGAGTTCAATGATATCAGAAATGTATGGTCAAGATACTTTCTGGATGTTGTATTGCAAAGTTGAGAAAAAACTATTTAGCCAAACAATTTGTAATGTATGAAATTTGTAATGTATGAATGTTGATTGGATGTTTAATTAAACACGTATTTGATTGTGCATTATGCGTTTTTATAGATGATATGGTACTATTTTTATCGGATATGTTTGATTGTATGGAGTTAGTTTTATGTATTTTTACGTATTATAAACACGGCATCTAGCTAAATTTTTAATACAAATATTTTTTATTAAATAAAATTTCAGAGACGCTTCAACCTATAAAGCGCCTCTAAAAGTTTTTCAAATTCAAAGGCGCTTTTGATCAAATAAGCGCCGCACGCGTCACAAAGATTTTCAAATTCAGAGGCGCTTGTGATCAAATAAGCGCAGCACGCGTCACAAAGATTTTCAAATTTAGAGGCGCTTTTTAACAAAGAAGCGCCACACACAAAGCGAAAAAAAAATATATAAAAAATTGGAGGCGCTTTTTGCAGAGAAGCGCCTCTAAAAACACGTTGCGGCACTATTCATTAGAGGCGCCATAAAGCACCGCACGTGTACAAAAAAAGCGCCTCGAAATGACGTTTTTGCACATGTGCATGAACACTCGAAGATTTTTCTTTTGACCAGGTCTCTGACTAGACCGAGGCCTCCTTAGAGATATCTTGAGAGTCACTCGCGGAAGACATCTTTCGGTAATATATCGGGGGGAGTGTCAGACGAGGAAAGCTCTAAGGGCACTAACACTAGATCTAACGAAAATGGAGCAAATTATGCGGAATTCAGCAAGAACATGAGAAGAACTAACCTTGAAAAAGGGGGGTTTGATCGACTTAAGCTCTCTCTCTCTAGAAAATTCAGCACAGCTTCGCTTCAATGAAAAAACGTACAAAGGGAATGAGCTCAGGCCAGTGGTAGACCTGGGCCTCCGGTTAAAAGCCCATCATTACGAACTGTTGCCTCAGCCAACCGGTGACAGCCGCCCAACGAAAGCCAACCAACACACGACACGTGGGCCCCTCCTTCAACGGTCATATTCCAACGGCTACTTCAAAGCAACTGAACCGCCTCAACCAGCACCCCTCGAACAATTAAGGTCACGAAGCCCTCGGGTTAACACATAGTAGTGAACCCCTTCAGCCCGAACATGTCCTCGGCCTAAAGGTGTGGGGGACTGGGGGGACCCTCGGGAAAATCACATATAACAAAAAGTATTTTCAGGACATCAACAAAACATGCCAGCCTTCACCGCAACCGGAGGGAAAACTACGCTTTCCCTCAAAAGCCCTCGGCCTCAAGATATGGGGGACTGGGGGACTCCCCTCGGCAAAACACGCACACGTAAAATTTTTACTATTTCTCAGCTACAATAAGATAGCCACCGGCGAGATCACGATAGTTACTCCTCTTTCCCTCGAGAAGCTCTCGGCAAAAGGAGTGGGCCAGTGGGGGACTCCTGATGGAATATATGGCCCAACAACCCCCCGGCCCACATACTCCCACTACTACAAGCAGCCCAACTGGCCCAGGTGACCCAAATACAGCAGCCAAAGCTCCGGACAGCCCATACTATACGGTGTGTAGCCTTCGGCCCTATGTCCGAAGGCTTCATACTCAAGAAAACAGTTATATCTGGTCCGAAGACATGACTGGAAAGCAGGGCAAAAATCTTTAGCCTTCGGCACATGAGGCCTTCGGTGCATGCAGCCGAAGGCACTACCCTCGACAAGATATCCTCTCTGCACGCTCTGAATCGCCGCATTAAATGCGGTGTCACGTCCAACCACCGCATTAAATGCGGTGCCATGTGTCATGTCGGCGCTGCCCCGGTTGAGTTGACCCTCCACCGCTAATTAACTGACACGTGTACTCGCATTAAATGCGCTTAGCATTTATGGCTGCTATAAATAGCAGTCATTTTTTCCATTGTAAAACAACGAGTTCATTTATTACACACTCGTTCTCTCTCTTACTTGTTCTGACTTCTCTGTAGATACCTTTCAGGCTTAAGCGGTATCCCCGGATATCCTATCCATCACATATATTAATGATCAACTTTATGCATAAACTATATGCATATTAGACCACCAAATAACAAATGAAAAGCTAAACAAAAATTAAAATATATAGTCCCTCTATAGTCTATACTATACTTTTCTGATACTTTCTTTGAATCCATTTAACAAATAGTTAATTAATTTGCCCATACCAACGTTACACTTTGGAGTATATATCATGTATTATTGAACTTAAACAATTTGCTAAAAGATAAACAAATGTAATATTAAAGTGATTAAGGATTGATTTTAACTAGTTTGTCAGTTGCTTGATTGTGAGGATATGTGCTTTGAATAAAATAGACAGTTCAGTAGGAATATGAGGAAAAAGTAGGGGCTTTTTGTTTTTATATTGATATTAATTTGTCTACTTTGTGTGTGGATCCGTCAACATGTTATATCATAATTGGGTGTCACTTTAATTTCTGTACCCTTCATTATGATGGATCGGGAAGTTAGGTTTTTAATTAATAAATGTAGTGGAAGACAAAAGTTTATTTCATACAAAAGAGGGGCTTTATATTAAAAAGTGCAACACACACAACACAACCTTCAGACATATTTTACAGATCCAATCGTGAATCTTACGAGTAGACATTGAGTCAGCCATCTCATACAAAGCAATCTGACTCGCTAAATCTGAAATGAGGAAATTTAAGCCTAAAATGAATAGATCTGAAACCCTGTCTATCAAAAGAACTCCAAAAACCTAAACATTAAAACCAAATCTACTTGGACTAAAACAAAAACAAGTAATACTAAAGAGAAAATAATATTAACATAAAAATTTTCGACAAAACTCTTCCTGGTATGGAGGTGGTTCCGAAGGAGGACGAACTCTTGCGATATGGGTGAATTCCAACTCTACCACCGCTGGGGCGGCCGACCAAGGCTTCACGATCCGTCACCGATACAAACTCCCAGACATTGAGTTAAAAAGTGGTTTTTTTTACAAAAAAAATTACTAAACTAAAACTTATTTACATAAATATGACTAATAGTTACTACAACGTAGTGCCATGGTAACATGAGTTTAAAAATTGAACATAAATTACTATGATTTTATTACTGCTTAAGTTACTAGTCACTTTTCGTAAACAACATTTATTTTTTAGTCATAAATATATAATCATTTCTAAAAGAAAGGGAGATTTATCCAAACAGGATTAGAACATACAACGTACTATTAGTTTATAACACTACAAAAAAACACGCCGTTTGTCACGGATTTTTGTCACGGATTCCGGCCGTGACAAATTTGTCACGGGCTTTGTCACGGAATTCTGGGATTTGTCACGAAAATTATTTGTCACGGATTTATCCGTGACAAAACCCGTGACAATATTTTGTCACGGATTTGGTCCGTGACAAATGTACTCCGGCGACCGGTTTTTTACTCCGGTGAATACTTTTTTGCTTCCGGGCATTTGTCACGGACAGATCCGTGACAAATCCGTGACAAATTTCAAAAAAATTCAATTATTGATTTTCCAGCGGTAACCTTTAATAATACGGTATGGGAAAAGATTTGTCACGGATAAATCCGTGACAAATCCGTGACAAATTTCAAAAAAACTCAATTATTGATTTTCCAGCGGTAACCTTTAATAATGCGGTACAGAAAAAGATTTGTCACGGATATGTCCAAACTCCTCCCTCCGAACAATCAGACGCTCATATAAGCGTGCATGGGGAGGGGGCATCATCTCATGCACCTCCTTCATCTCGTGCAATATATGCCCCCCCACTCAAGAAGAGCGCCACAATCCCGGTTCGCTTGAGGTGACACCTCAATCGATCCATAGGTAATAAAAAACTAACATTCTGTAATATAAAATAGTATAATCTCTTTATCTAAGAATTAATACAATTGTTTTTATCAATTATCAATTTTTTGAATCGATTCCGAGGTCTTGAATAGAATCAAGGCTATTGTTTGTGGTCATTTCACCGGGCCGTGGTCGACTTATGGTGAGGTTCCGGCGGCCACTCGTGAACTATGGTGGCGGTTGTTCAAGGTAAAAATAAATATTTTTGTTACATTTTAGTAACTTAAATTTAAGAAATGATGATATATCAATGTTTTTCATGAAGGCTTCCCATCGTTGGCATTTTGCCCTAGACCAAGCGATTCTCAAAGAATACAATTCTAGGATTTCTGGGTGGTTGAGACCCACTTTTAGGACCGCCCGGTCTACGGGTAAAAAGCCAAAGTTCCTTGGCGATGATGTGTGGGAGATGCTTTGCCGCCACTGGGCTACGGATGCCTCATTTTTGCTGAGAAGCGAAATGGGCAAGGCAAACCGGGCTTCCGAGAAAGCCAAGGAAGTTCAATGGCACGGGGGCCGCAAACCCCAAAGTCAACATAAAAAAGATCTGGTAAACTCTATTTAGTTAAAATTATTTCCATTCCATACCATTATGTATATATATTTTTTTATTAACTTTGAAATCCGTGTAGGAAGGATCTGGACCCGTGCCAAAACGGGTCACGCCATTGAAACTCATGGCACATTGCTGGACTAAGAAGGGTGCCATGCCGCCTCCCCGCCTTTCTGAAATTGAACTAAATAATGAAACATAATTCAATAAATTTCGATTTTTTTAGATCTCTTATATAATAAATTTTTGAACTTGTAGAAAAAATATGAGGAAGAGCGGGGTAAGAGAGTTGATGAGCTAGCTGATTCTAATGCCGAACTTGATGAAAATCATGATGATGAAGCCATCTTGGCGGCAACCGGAGTTTACAAGGGCCGGGTGCCGTTTATGGGTTCTGAAGGCGTACGGATCCTCGAGAAGACCAAAAGAGCTAGCTCATCTTCTCATTCGGCATATGATGATCGGGTTACCCGCCTCGAGAAACTATTGGAGGAACGTGAAGCCGAGGCTCGAAGGCGGGATGAAGAAGCTCGGATACGGGATGAAGAGCAAAGAAGAACAAGAGAAAGGTTGGAAGAGATGGAACGCCAAATGCGTATTTTCAACGCCACCTACCGTCCATCCATTCACATACAGCACCCCGAGATGACCCCACAAGTTCCCTTCGCGGGCAATATGG